ATCATGAAATTCACCAAGTGACACAGGACTAGACTAGAGACCTAATAGAATTTAGGGTTTGTCTGCACATGAAATTATTCCAGAATAGCTGTTCTGGAATCACTATTCCAGAAATCTGAGTGGAGACATATTCCAGAATCCGTTTTCTTCCTGTCAAACTTAATCCACTTTGTTGGACTAAAAGCTATTCCTGAACTCCATGTTTAGACAAATCCTAAATATTCTGCAACTTGTCAGATGTCATTTATCTATTAATTTATGAAATAGAGGCACTCATGTATTTCTTTGAACAGATGTGCTCACATTTTTCTCCCTACTGGTACCATTAAGCCAGAATTGGGCAATAATGTAATGAAGTAGAAAAGATTGTCTTTTTTTGTGACAAGACTTTTTTTCTTCTAGGTGGTTCTCCCTATGTGGCAGCCAAAATCAATGAAGCTAAAGACTTACTGGAAGGCCAAGCTAAGAAGTGAATGTGGATATTTAGTTGTAAATTAATGGTTTAGTTTATGTATATTAATATCAGTTTTGATAACTGACCCATGGAAAGTTGACACCAATCTTTTTGACTTGATCAATGATTAAACTAATGCAGGGAACCCTCCCCCCCCATCTTGGTTGGATCATGTGTATCTTGTTTTGGGGAGTGTGGGGGCTTATAAATAGTGGCTTAGAATAATTTTTGAAGAAGTACTATTTCTAGTGGTGGTACAGTTTACCTCTAATTCAAAGTATTTTTCCTAGGATGACATGGAAAATATTGTGATTCGGTCTGGCTAATGTATAGTCACACAAACAGCCTGAGTCTTGAGCACTCTGAAAATGCTGAATTTCTGTTTAACCAGGTACATCTGTTTGAAATTCATGCTGCTGTGGCTTAATATCCCAAAGTTAGCAAGATGATACTAATAAGAGAAAAGGCTGGGTTGAAACAACTTAAGGAAAATCATGGGGATTTATTTGCACAATAGGAATAAAGCATTTAGAAATTGTTACATTAATGCAACGTGGAAAATGGAGAAAGTGGAATGTACTGAATTCTCTTGTAAGATAATGTGTATTAACTTTCAAAAACAAGTTGGCCATAGTCAGTGCTATTGATTTGTCTCCATGTATTTTTTACTTATTTCTACACTGATTTTCATTATTTTTACTGATTCCACAGCATTTAAATAAAATGACAAACTTATACTTGTATTAATAAGTACTAAAATTTCATAATATACTAAAGCCTTACAGCATATGATGATTATCTTAAAAGAATAAGGTGTAAGTACTCTTAGGATAACTCTTAGGATAACATCTAGTAAGAGATGGAAAGTGGAAATTTTACTTGCATGAGCCTTTAAGATAGAGGCTTAGATTCAAAGTTACAAGGAGGACTTTTTTTCTTTCTGTTTTGAATGAGAAATTGTAAAGGAGTTTTCCCTCCAAACTATCCATTCTCCCTTGATAGAGAACATTGCTTTACAGCACAGAAGTTATATTATTTATACATGGACCAGAGTTCACACAACTTATAGCTTTTCTAAATCTAATATGCTTGTATTGTGACCATACTGAGGTCTCTACAACCTCTCCCTGGATCGCTCTGATCCCAGTATGCAAAAATGTATGTCTGTGTTTCACTATGTATGAGCAAATCACCACTGAAATTCTGTGCATTAAGAAATGAGCAAGACTAAATCAAAGATGGAAAACCAGAACTACTAAATTGTTTTTAAAGGAGTATAACAAAAAATATAGAAAAGGAGGAGCATGAAGATCTATATAGTGATTCTGATTGTCCAGCTATTTCCCAAACTAAAACACACAGATCTGTAGGTCCAGCTGTGATATATCTCAGGGTATTAAAAAATAAAAATTGTTAATGGCTCTCAAATCTACCTCTACACTTAATTCTTCTCCCCTATGTCCAGGATCACATTTTTCCAGGTGTCGTACACTGGACCCTCTCTAGAATGCAGGATCTGGGATCCATGCCAACTACTGCATTATAACGGGGAACGTGTTAAAATGAAATTACTGTATACAGTAAGTGTCACATCCATAAAGTATAGAAAACCTTAGAAAATAAACTACTTGAAGAAAACAAACGAGAAAAAAAAGTGTTGCTTTATTGGAGATTTAAAGTACATTACAATAAACTAGTCTAGTTTTTCTTTAAAAAGTTGGTGAGTTGGTTTTGCTTCTTGCTGCTATGCCGCTTCTGCTTAGCAAACTGCAAAAGACTGTGTAGCTGCATAATTTTTATAGGCTCAACATCTTGCGTCTCAAACCATCTCAAAGCAGTCTCTAAGCTGGCTATGGTCGCAGTTGACGTTGGAACGACATCCACTTCTTCTTCTACGGCGAAGGCCAATTCTTCAGCTTCTGGAATGTTTGGTCATACTGCCTGAAGAATTTGGTCAGCCGTTAGACTTTCAGCAATGGGACAAAATTCTTCTGCTTCATTGTCGCCTCTTAAGCAGAACCCCGAGCCTGGACAGTTGCTAGCACAGCTCCTGCATCCACTCCATGTCTGTTCTTTCAACCTCCTCCTCTGTAAATCCCTCAAATTCCTCATCAGACTGCGATCTGCTTTCTTCATTTTCTTCCAGGAGCGGGTGGCCAAATGACTCTCTCGGTCCCATCATCTAACAGTGGTTTATTGTTTCAGTTTGTAATAAATTCCAGGAATCGCTGCCAATGTAAAAAGTCAACTTCTTCAGAAAATCTGTGACAGACAACTTGCTTTCTATCATTTGTCGTACCATGTTCCGTCGATTAGTGCTGCTTAAAAATGGCGATAACACCTTGATCAAGCGGCTGGATTTTGGAAGTCGTGCTTTTAGGTAAGTATTCAACCCGTATTTTACCATGATGGGTTCCGAGTCTTTCGGCCGGAGGATGCACTGGACAGTTGTTTAGCAAAAGAACAGCCTTCTAAGCGTTTTTTCTGCAAATCCTTTCACACAGAAGGGACAAATTTGGTGAAGAACCACTGTTCAAATATCTCTCTTGCCATCCAGGAATTTTTGGAGTTCTTGTACGAAAATGGTAAGCAATTCACATTTACGTGATGAAAGCACCAAGGCATGCGAGACTTTCCAATGCACAACGGTTTTAATTTATGCTTGCCTGTTGCATTCACACAAAACAATAAAGTAAGGCGATCTTTTGCCTGTTTATATCCTTTTTTCTTACGTTCATCTGTTCTGACAGCCATGGTTTTATCAGGCAACATTTTATAATTCCTGTTTCATCTGCATTGTAAACCTGTTCCTCCGAGTAACCCTCTGCCTGTAAAATTTCCCTCCGATTCGCAGGGTACGGTTGCGCAGCGGCATTGTCAGCAGAGCGTTTTTCTCCCGAAACTGCAATCTGACAGATTGTGTCTTTTCTGAAATCGTCATAGTCAACCTGAACTCACCTTAAAATTGCTGAATTTGCCATTAAGTTCCTGGTCGAATTTTTCCCCTTGCATGGCTATAAGCAGACCAGAGATTGGAATGTCTTTCTGCTGTTCTTGCACAAACCACATGTACATTGCAGAATCAAGATCGGCATCATTCACTAAACGGGCTCGTTTTCTTTGAAGGTCATGCTCTTCGTCCAGTTTATGAATGTAAGTTCCGAGCTTGTCAGCATTCTTTAGCCATCCAAGAAAGGTGGACTCGTTAACACCCATATTGCGGCTAATCTTTGCCTGGGTTTCGCCATTTCTAAGTCATTCGATAGCATCCAATTTCTCCTGGACAGAGTAAGCCTTCTTTTTGCCCGATATTTTTGACATCTTTCTAAAGATAAATACTTTAGATAAAGATAAATACCTGTCCATTTTTATTACATTACATTTGTATGGCGTTCTAGGCCTACAGCAATAGTCTTAGGTCTTGTCTACACTACCATGTGGGGTCGATCTAAGATATGCAGCTTCAGCTACGTGAATAGCTGATGCTCGACTGCGCTTGCGCTCCTCATTCTGGTGGAGTACTAGAGTTGACAGGAGAGCGCTCAGCAGTTGATTTATCGCATCTATACTCAAATTTGGGATCCATGACCACGTTATACCTGAATTTGCGTTATACAGACGCACGTTCTAGCGAGGGTCTGGTGTACCACATTCTTAAACACACATCAGATGAGCTCATCTTTCTCTTTTCAATAGTGCCATCGTGACCACCACTACCTTCACAATTACTCCAGTTGTTTACTTTAGAATTATTTTGACTGCATATTTTCTTCCCCAGACAACTATACTGTCACCAAATTCTGACACTTTTTTTTCTCTAAAACATACTGAAAACAATCCATCCCTTCAGCTGAAATGCATACCTATGTCTTGGTTATCTCTTGCCTTGACTGCTGCAGCCTCTCCTTGTTTCCCATCTCAGCTCCTCTGGCTATATAAAATGCAGCAGTTAAAATAATGTCACCCACTGCTCAGAGCATGTCATTTCTCAAATCTTTCACCTGGCTTGCATTCACAGAATCAGGTTTAAGACTGTCTTCTCTTTCAAGGCTTTGCACAACCCCACCCACACCTGCTGTGGTATCTTTCTGCATCCCTCTGGTCCACATCACAAAATAAGTGACCTTGTTGCTTTGCATTTTCTAGTCCATATCAATATTACTTCCATGCCTGGAATAGCCTCTCCTATTCTTACTGTGCCAGGCTTTCATCCTCTAAGTCCGTCCCTCTTTAAAAGCCTGCAAATGTCAACATGTGTGAATGTGCCACTACCAGTACCCCCATCTATATATAAATTATCACCGCCTCTAAATCCCTTCTAGAGGAGAGGATAAAAAAGGTATTTTTGAAGTGTCTTAACTAATGTTTACGAAATCCTGTGGAGAGAGGTTAAGCTTAATGTGTTATCTAGGTCTTCCCTAGGAGAGAAGCTAGGGTTTATCTCAACCAGTTAATAAGTAAAGAGGTTAGTACTAAATTACAATGTCTGTCTGAAATATCTTGAGTTACTTTAATTAAGTCATCTTTCTGATTAAAGGACACTAAGTAACCAATGGAAGATCAAAGTTTATTTTTTTCTACCAGCATACAAAAACATATTGCACATCAAACAACCAAAATAAAAATACTCTACTAAGGACTAACATATGTAGTTTATACAGAATAAACTTTCTGGAAATTGATCTTTTCAGTAGTTCAGGTTATGTCTTAATGGACATGACTAATTCAGCTTAGTGTTTTAACTAAAGCTATGTTTGATTTTTAAATACTGTACAGTTTAATAAATAAACCAAACAAAGCCTCAAAGTAGAACAGTCACTGCCAATGCCACCCAATATCCCTGCAGATTATGAGAATTTAATAAATGTATTCCAGTGGTCTGCAGTTTTTTTCCTCTACATACAGCATTTAAAAAACATGTATTAAAACAGACCAGTTTCCAGACTAAACTAATGGAGAAATTACAATTCAGTGCAAAATATTTTAGACTGCATTTCTTTCTAGTTTTCCTCAGGTGAAGAAGTGGTTGCATATTATTAAAAATGTAACAAAAGCAGCTAATGCTTTCATAAAGAATATTACATTAGGGATTCCCCCCACATCTTTGCCATATTTTGAAAACAAAATAACATTTCCTATAGCCAGCAAGTTTTTGTTTATTTAAATGTTACATATACTATCTCAAGGCACATCTGATGATATATTTATAACACAGTAGGTGTCAAAAGTATGTTTAACATATGATTTCTTCAGGATCCCTCCCCTTTCTGAATTCCAAAATGGAGGAACTGAAAGTGCGCTGTCAAGACTGGCGATCCATATTCTATCTTTGGCAAGCTTATACAAGCACTATTGTAAAATGTAATGTAAAAGAACTGTAAACTAGGAACTTCAGTTTATGAAACACCATTCAGCACTGCTTCTTCCTGATTATTTTCTTCTTCTTGTATAGTACTTGACTTCTCTTCTTCAGGACTATGCTGTGGCTTAGAAGGTTCATCCCCAGAAGCATTAGCAGGGCCATTTATTGCTTTTTCTGAAGGGCCATGTTCTTCAATCACATCTTTTGCCTTTAAAAGAAAAAAGATTTTAAAAAACTTACTAGATACAACATGGAAAAACCCAGTCACGAGAGAGGGGGGCATAGTCCAGTTGTTTTAAACATCAGAAGGGGAGCCAAGGTCACTTGAGTTCTAATCTTGGCTCTGACACGAACTCCCTCACAGGAACAGCCATAGGGGATCAGACCAGTGGTCCATCTGTTCCAGTATCCTGTCACCAACAGCGGCAACACCCTGCTTCAGAGAAAGGTGCAAGAAACCCTGCAGTAGGCAGTTATGGAACAGTCTATCCCCCAAGAAAGTTTCCTCCTAACCCCCCAGTAATGAGAGTCTGATTTAAATCAGATTAGGTTTTATCTTTTTCAAATCTCCCCTACTCATTTTTAGTATTTACTAGTATAATTGGCTGTTCTTGTTATCCAATAAATGAATAATACCTTTTCAAATCCTGCTAAGCTTGTCCTCTCAATAAATTGGCAATATTCTGTGTGTGGGTGGAAATGTTTTTGCCCCCTTTAATGTTACTGAATGCTCCCTTGTTCTGATATTACGAGATGGGTGAATAGGTTCCCAGTTTACCACCTCCACACCATTCATTCTAGCCTCTGTAGCCTTATGCAAGTCACTGACTATCTCTGTCTTAGTTTCCCCTATTTGTAAAATATAAAAAATAATACCCATCACACAGGAGTCATGAGGATTAATATTTATAAAGTGTTTTCAAGATTAAAAGCTTTATAGGAGGCAAGTATCTAAGGAATTGGTGTAAGAACTTCTAATTTTAGAGTACTATGTTAGATGCAGTAAATTCAACTGAGAAAGTCTGCATTATAATTCAGCAAGAGATGAACATCAACTGCTGTGTACTCAGTCACTTTCTCTTGTGATGTTACAGTCATCTCAATCAGTTGCCTCTTTCCAAAAGATAAAGTGGTTTTAAAACACCAGAATCTTCAGAAAGGCCACCTGATTTCATAAATATTCTGCAAAATTAACTATTTCATAATTTGGCTTGAAGATGGAAACAAAGTACTTTTGAGACCTATTTCAAATATACATTCACAGGGTAAAAGTATATCTGCCTTGCTAGTTAGCATCAACTATATCATCAATAGGGTTTTTCATTCCCAAATTGTGAAAGACTATGAGCATTCCATCACTAAAGAAGAGAGAAAAACAAAGCAGCATACATTTTTTTAAAATTTAGAGTTTTCTTCCTTTTTTCTTACCATTTCGTTCTTGTTTTTAGCCAATGTTTCCCTTGGGAGGTTTCTTTGTCTACTCTGAGATTCAGCTCGTGATATGTAATCAGCTACTGTGACTGTGTGAGGGAAGAAAAATTAAAGATGCTGAACCGTTACAAAATATTTTTCAGATTATTTCATGTTTAACAGTGAGCTAATTTGCTATTGTGCCATTGTTTAGGATTTTCTGCACTTTATGCATAAAATATAGATTTTATAGCCAATAAATAAATCTTATTTGTGAGTCACCTAGCAACTCTTTGGGTGATTAAAAATTATAATTAACTCAACATTTAATTTATAATAATTTCATAGTAAAGATCAAATTCTGTCCTTGGATAACCATGCAGGGCTTCCACTGAAAGCAGCACACATCTGCTTCTGCAGGCAGAATTTGGTTGTAAATTAGGGTAAAAAATAATTCTAGTTTGAGGTAGGTGTAGGTTAAGCAATCTGAAAGGAAGGACCATCACTGAGCTCTCATCATGACATAAAACACTTTAGATTGGAAGCACTTTGAGAAAGGGAATTTATTTATACTGGTATATTTTATTGACTGGAAAGTGAAGTGGACAGCTATGGTACCATATAAAAAGTAAGGAAATTTCACTCTAAGGTATCCCATAAATAGACTGAAGGGAGATTAGAAACATGGGAGGAATAGCTGGAATTAGGGGAAAACAAATTTTTAAATAGTATTAAAATATTTCTTTCTTGAAAAGTTCTTCATGAACTAAGCACACCCTCCTGCTATTTCCTGTCCACTCCTGCAATTCAAAAGGCAACTCTGTACTTCTAGAACACACACCTGTGATATACATTTTGAAGGGATAAACAAAGAGGTGATGAACCGAAAGAAGTTACATAGTTTGTCAAATAATCTATTGTATAACAATTGATAATTATATTTAGCATTTGACAAACTCCAGCTAGCTATTTTTCTGGGTTTAATGGTGATAAAATGATAAGACCTATATCAGGGTCCAAAGCAAAATATATTAATTTGGTTTCTTTTCCATTACTATTAGACACTTCATAACTGGGTGCAACTGCTCAAGAGTTATCTAGTTTTGAGAACAATTCAGTTCTCACTATCAGGGAAGGTGCTCATTTAAAATACTACTTTACACCCAGATTCTGTAATGACTTACATACATGCAATAGAACTACTCACATGAATAGTTAGGCATGTACTTAAGTCTTGTGTGCACAAATATTCATCCAAACTGTGCAACAGTAAGAAACATTACAACTAAATGTCTCAAATGAAAACTAATTTTGTATATTGATTTTTAAACATTTGATTATTCAGTGAGCTTTTCTCATGTTCTCATATTTAAACTAATGGAATTTAAAAAAATCACATTACGAAAGGAAAAAAAAAAGACTCAGTACCATCTCTGCCATAACAGTATCATTATAATCTCCTTCCATTTATTCCTATTATATATTTATAAAAACATTTAGCAGGAGAGCATTATCCATGAGGACATTATAAAACTACATATCTTTCACTATTATTCTCACAACCTAACATGCTATTGCTCTTTTATTTTATTTACGAATATTTACTAATATAATCAAAGTTTATACTGAACAACAGTGGCAACAGAAAAGCACAGCCTTCATTCAACTTCTGAAATATGGGGAGAAACTAAATTGATTGAAAGCAAAATTGAGGGATAGTTTGGTTTTTTTGGGGGGGTGGGGTGGGTGTCTGAGTTTTTAATAAAGCATGTTTCACTTGAAGGGAAATGCTGTCATGGCATTTCAAATGCTGACTAATATCTTATATTTCTCATTTACAATAACCCCTTGTAAGGCTGAAGCTGAAATTGATTTTCTTACCAATCTATTTCCTTCTTTGTAAGTACACATTATTTATTATAGGACTGAAGAATGTTCATACGTACCGGACTGTTTGCATTTATTTTTTTAAAAGAGCACTGAAGCATGTGTTTCAGGAAAAACCTACACACATGAACGATTACATGTCCCTCAGCAAACAGATGCAAGTAAAACAGTCAAATTTCGAGCATAGCTGGCTGGAAAACATCTCTTTAAATGTACCAAAATGTCTTATGAATTTACAGTCACACATTTTCTAGAACAGGTAACACTTAAAATCAGAGAATTCACCTTTAAGATTTGAAGTGTTAGTACACAAAAGAAATGCCTCAAACCACAGTACCAAAAAACCAGAAACATGCAATTTCATTTAAAATGTCTTTTTTCAATTTATGGATGATTTACTACATCCATAAAAGTGAGGGACTGATAGAACTGGCTTAATAGACGCACAGGGCAGGCAGATGTCATGTAAATGCCCTCACATTGTTCTGTCAGTGCACCTCAGTACTAAGCTATGCCACCACTGCTGTTCCAAGCCATCTTCCTCTCACATGAAAAAAGCCAATAGTGAAAATTTTAAAAATATTTGGTCATGTCACTTTCAGGGGGTTGCACAGGTTTAAGTGCAGAACGTGTCCCAGTATTCTTACAGAGATTGATTCTGAACCACTGAAATCAACGGGAGTTTAGCCATTGACTTCAATGGGAGCACAGCATCAGAAGCATAAACTGTATTTACAAATGAAAAATTAAATTTTAAAGGATAAAAAAAGTTAGTTTCATTAGACAGGTTATGAATTAAATATGTTCTGTTGTGAGAATTGTTTTTTGTCTTGTACACAGTAGTCTTATTAGTTATTAAGTAATTTTTATTTACAGTAGTGCAGCTATATATATATATTTATAGATATACATAAACAGCAGACACGACATTCCTTCATGCTTGTGATCTGAGGTTACCCACAGTTCCACTCGAGTTACCTGGCTGTCTATCTTCTGCCTGACCCCTGAAGCGACGCCTGCGGCTACGATTGCGTCGCTGGGGTTTTTTGTCACTATCATCTGCAATTGCAAAGTTTACCATGAACTATTCTGACGATAAAGCTGTTTTTCTTCAGCAGTTTAAGGATGGGCACAGATTGCTTTTATTAACATGGAAGACAAAATAAGATACACTGAAAGAAAATGGAATTTTGAATTGGAAACATTCAAAATTGATTAGAAACTTGGATCTTTCACAGTTTGGTCCAGATTCAGTAAAACACTCAAGCACATGCTTCACTTTAAGCATACACTTAAGTTTACTTTGCTGAATCAATGCCTGCATGTGGTTTCTGAACAAATAATAAATCAAATATAAACTTGCTACTAGACTACTAACAAGCTGATCATCAGCCCCACATCACTGGAAAGTTAAGTTTTCCTTACGTTTGCAGTAAGATTTGTCTGACCTCAATGTCACCACAAAACAGATGATTCTTCAGTGGGCAACTTTATACTTTTGATATGTGGGAGACAATTATATTCTGGATACTAGCCCCTTGTTCCTCAAGGCCCCCAGATCCAGGAAAGCACCCCATTCAGGAAAGCACTTATGCAAATACTGAAGTGAATGGGGCTTATTCAGGGAAAGCACTTAAGCATAGGCTGAATGGGGTCAGACAAACAGGTGTTTAAGTGGTTTCTTAAATTGAGGTTCAAGTTGCCAAGGGTTAAGGAAGTAGAATTCTGGCCCAAGGAGAACCAAAAGTGCCTTGTTTCTCTAATCAGCCTCAGAAAGCACTAACTTAAACAGCAATACTGACAGGAACCAAAGCAGACCCACGAAGGCTCTGTTAGCCAGAAGTATTATGGACATGGTATAGGATAGCAGTAGAGACCAGTAAGAGAAGGAAACCTCATGGTACTTCCATGGATGTGGAAGACTTTTCACCAAAAGAGAAAAAGTTAGATAATACATTAATAATTATTTTTTAATCAAAAATAGATTTTCCACTCTTCAGAACAATCTTTTGTGAGTTAACTCACTCTGTGGTTCTGTTTCCCAATTGATAACATACCTAAGCCATTCTCATTAACAGAAGCAGTGTCAGATTCTGTCATTCCATCCATCAGAACAGCATCTTCATCAGTCCTTCGCCTGCGTGACCGCCTACGACGGTTAGTACTGTGATGAGATTCACTGGCATCAGTGTCCACAGTCTGGTCTGACTCTGTGTTATCAAGTAAGCTGTAAGGGTTGCTGTCCGGATCTTTAAGCACTAAATATCATACGGAAAAGGTCCATCTAAGACAAACTTCAGTTACAAATAGTGGGTCATCCTGACGTCATTATACATTTTAAAATACAAAAATGTATAAAATCATGCAGCACATTGCCATACAAAACAGTTACGGTTTTATGCTAGTTAGTTTGGGCTTTTTCACTAGTTCTGATAATCCAACAGGGTGTATTCTAGGGCACCATAGCACAGTAGAACATGTCAGCATATTATCAAGAGACCCTGAATGTAATATTTAAAAGAAACTTTTAGAACATTAGTTTTTAATCCATTTATTTGCTGAATGGCCCTCTACACCTAGTTAGCAGATACATACATGTGGGGCTTCCAATGTCACAGCCCTGCTCACTCGCTCACCAGACAGGAGAGTGGGAGCCACCAAGGGCAGGAACTGTTCAGCAGTGCCCTGCAGTTGGGGGCTTGTCCTATTTGCAATCCTGGCAGGGGGTCTCTGCTGTACCGGGCCAGGACTGCAACCTCCCCTACACATTGTGCCCTGGTGTCTTGGGCCCTCTGGCCATGCTGGGAGCCCCCTGCAGCCACACTGTCAGCACTGACCTTACCCTACCCCTATACCTACCCTCCTTAATTTCTAGCAACTGTAAAAATAAATACATAGTTAAATATAAAAATCAGTAACAGTCAAATTCTTCCACGTCTAATTATCTGTGTGGGTTGTTGAAGGGGTGAGGACTAGGAGTAAAGGTTTAGTGAGAGACGGGATGAAAAGCAAAACCCTTAAACTTTCCACAACATGGTGCATAAAACAAGCAAATCCTGACATGACTGTACATGACTTACATGATCCAACTGTAAATATGTAAATTTTGATAGTTAGCTTGCAATATACAGCCTGCTATTTTTTTTAAAAGTTGCAATATTTCAAAAAAATATATACATACTTTAAAATAATGATTTACTTAATTTAAGAAGAGAAAATACAGCCAGTTGTCTGCAATAAAAATTAAACCCAAAATATATTTCAACACACTACCAGAGCTAATGGATGACTTCCCACCACGTGGTCCACCACGTCCACGACCCCCAGAAACACTACGCCCTCTTCCTCCAGGACGTCTTCTGCTGTCCCGCTGATGTCGGCTCTCCCGGTCATCTTCTCCTGCCAGTGACCAATCGCTCAGTTCATCTTTTCTCTCAGATTCAGTTTCAGAGGGATTTGACAGCTCAGAGTTTGTACCTTTAACAGTATAAAAAAGAAAAAGAGATAGACATGAAATTTGTGGTCACTTTCTGGCTTCAGATGCACATAGGAATCCCACTGACCACAGGGATCCACGTGTATCTGATATAAAAATATGGTTCTTAGGTTTTAACTGATATTTAGCTACTCTCTAAAAAACTCTTAGTTTTGTTTTGGAATAACAAGAGAAACGTGCGGTCAGCGATTTATTATGCAATTTTAGTGATTTACAAGTGCAATTCATGCATAACATACATTATTTTGTCTTTCCGTACATGGACACAAGCACTGAGAGATAAATTCCATCTATATGTACACATGTGGGCTATAGAATCCAGTTTCTAGGCAACTTCTCTGAAAATTCTCAGAGTTACCACCTTATAGAGTTGCTAAGCAACTACTCAATCATGCAACTACTGTAATGCTGGTTTGAACAACTTTACTACTATGTTAAATTATATCCATAAATCTCAATCTGATACCTCTGGGTAACAAACTCTCCGTAATTTTCTACTGGATTAAAAATACAGCTCCTGCCTTTTTAAGCACTCAGACACTGAAGTAATCAGGGATAAAAATATTTTGGCCACTTGTGATTATCTCATGAAGGTACAACACCTTGAAAACTGAACTCCCTGAGATAAAAGAGTTTGTTATGTAGTACATCAAGATACTGGCAACTGAACAGCACCCATTCCAGTTTAGTACACAATTCACCAAGAGTACAAAATAGTTTAACCTCTGGCACATGGAAGCAATATTTTTTGGTGTGGACAGTAGGCACAAATCATCAGTGCTTAGCACAGGGAACTCTGTCTGGACTTATTGGCATCAGGATTAAACAAAGATCATGCTAATTGCTGGTTCAATATTCCAAAAAGTAGTTGAAAAATTCTAAAATGACAACCTTAATCATAAGATTAAAATCATAGAATTGTAGGACTGGAAGGTTTTCTAATCCAGTCTCTTGTACTCAAGGTAGGACTGCAAAAAGAAAAGGAGTACTTGTGGCACCTTAGAGACTAACCAATTTATTTGAGCATGAGCTTTCGTGAGCTACAGCTCACTTCATCAGATGCATGCTGTGGAAACTGCAGCAGACTTTATATATACACAGAGAATATGAAACAATACCTCCTCCCACCCCACTGTCCTGCTGGTAATAGCTTATCTAAAGTGATCAACAGGTGGGCCATTTCCAGCACAAATCCAGGTTTTCTCACCCTCCACCCCCCCACACAAATTCACTCTCCTGCTGGTGCTAGCCCATCCAAAGTGACAACTCTTTACATAATCAAGTCGGGCTATTTCCTGCATAAATCCAGGTTTTCTCACATTCCCCCCACCCCCATACACACACAAACTCACTCTCCTGCTGGTAATAGCTCATCTAAACTGACCACTCTCCAAGTTTAAATCCAAGTTAAACCAGAACATCTGGGGGGGGGGGGTAGGAAAAAACAAGGGGAAAAAGGCTACCTTGCATAATGACTTAGCCACTCCCAGTCTCTATTTAAGCCTAAATTAATAGTATCCAATTTGCAAATGAATTCCAATTCAGCAGTTTCTCGCTGGAGTCTGGATTTGAAGTTTTTTTGTTTTAAGATAGCGACCTTCATGTCTGTGATTGCGTGACCAGAGAGATTGAAGTGTTCTCCGACTGGTTTATGAATGTTATAATTCTTGACATCTGATTTGTGTCCAGCATTCCTGGCAGGTATTTGTCTAACCTGATTTTAAATATCTCCAATGACACAGATTCCACAACCTCCCGAAGCAATTTGTTCCAGTGCTTAACTACCCTGAGAGGAAGTTTTTCCTAATGTCCAACCTAAATCTCCCTTGCTGCAATTTAAGCCCATTGCTTCTTGGCCTATCCTCAGAGGTTAAGATAACAATTTTTCTCCCTCCTCCTTGTAACAACCTTCTATGTACTTGAAAACTGTTACTATGTTCCCCGTCAGTCTTCCTTCTCAGACTAAACAAACCCAATTTTTTCATTCTTCCCTCATAGGTCATGTTTTGTAGACCTTTAATCATTTTTGTTGGTCTTCTATGGAATCTCTCCAATTCGTCCACATCTTTCCCGAAATGTGGCATCCAGAACTGGACACAATACTCCAGCTGAGGCCTAATCAGCACAGAGTAGAACGGAAGAATTACTTCTCGTGTCTTGCTTACAATACTCCTGCTAATACATCCCAGAATGATGGTTGCTTTTTTTGCAACAGTGTTACACTGTTCACTTATATTTAGCTTGCAATCCACTAAGATCCCCAGACCCCTTTCCACAGTACTCCTTCCTAGGCAGTCATTTCCAATTTTGTATGTGCGCAACTGATTGATTGTTCCTTCCTAAGTGGAGTACTTTGAATTTCTCCTTATTGAATTTCATCCTATTTACTTCACACCATTTCTCCAGTTTGTCCAGATCATTTTGAATTCTAATCCTATCCTCCAAAGTACTTGCAACCCCTCCCGGTTTGGTATCGTCCGCAAACTTTATAAATGTACTCTCTATGCCATTATCTAAATAATTGACGAAGATATTGAACAGAATGGGACCCAGAATTGATCCCTGAGGGCCCCCATTTGATATGCCCTTCCAACTTGACTGAACCACTGATGAGTTCAGGATCCTGACACAGGGAAGAAAGGTAAGCAGCAGGATACGGACCCTGGACTTCAGGAAAGCAGACTTCGACTCCCTCAGGGAATGGATGGGTAGGATCCCCTGGGGGACTAACATGAAGGGGAAAGGAGTCCAGGAGAGCTGGCTGTATTTCAAGGAATCCCTGTTGAGGTTACAGGGACAAACCATCCCGATGTGTCGAAAGAATAGTAAATATGGCAGGCGACCAGCTTGGCTTAACGGTGAAATCCTCGCGGATCTTAAGCATAAAAAAGAAGCTTACAAGAAGTGGAAGGTTGGACATATGACCAGGGAAGAGTATAAAAATATTGCTCGGGCATGTAGGAATGAAATTAGGAGGGCCAAATCACACCTGGAGCTGCAGCTAGCGAGAGATGTTAAGAGTAACAAGAAGGGTTTCTTCAGGTATGTTGGCAACAAGAAGAAAGCCAAGGAAAGTGTGGGCCCCTTAATGAATGAGGGAGGCAACCTAGTGACAGAGGATGTGGAAAAAGCTAATGTACTCAATGCTTTTTTTGCCTCTGTCTTCACGAACAAGGTCAGCTCCCAGACTGCTGCGCTGGGCATCACAACATGGGGAATAGATGGCCAGCCCTCTGTGGAGAAAGAGGTGGTTAGGGACTATTTAGAAAAGCTGGACGTGCACAAGTCCATGGGGCCGGACGAGTTGCATCCGAGAGTGCTAAAGGAACTGGCGGCTGTGATTGCAGAGCCATTGGCCATTATCTTTGAAAACTTGTGGCGAACGGGGGAAGTCCCGGATGACTGGAAAAAGGCTAATGTAGTGCCAATCTTTAAAAAAGGGAAGAAGGAGGATCCTGGGAACTACAGGCCAGTCAGCCTCACTTCAGTCCCCGGAAAAATCATGGAGCAGGTCCTCAAAGAATCAATCCTGAAGCACTTACATGAGAGGAAAGTGATCAGGAACAGTCAGCATGGATTCACCAAGGGAAGGTCATGCCTGACTAAACTAATTGCCTTCTATGATGAGATTACTGGTTCTGTGGATGAAGGGAAAGCAGTGGATGTATTGTATCTTGACTTTAGCAAAGCTTTTGACATGGTCTCCCACAGTATTCTTGTCAGCAAGTTAAAGAAGTATGGGCTGGATGAATGCACTATAAGGTGGGTAGAAAGTTGGCTAGATTGTCGGGCTCAACGGGTAGTGATCAATGGCTCCACGTCTAGTTGGCAGCCGGTGTCAAGTGGAGTGCCCCAGGGGTCAGTCCTGGGGCCGGTTTTGTTCAATATCTTCATAAATGATCTGGAGGATGGTGTGGATTGCACTCTCAGCAAATTTGCGGATGATACTAAACTGGGAGGAGTGGTAGATACGCTGGAGGGCAGGGATAGGATACAGAGGGACCTAGACAAATTGGAGGATTGGGCCAAAAGAAATCTGATGAGGTTCAATAAGGATAAGTGCAGGGTCCTGCACTTAGGACGGAAGAACCCAATGCACAGCTACAGACTAGGGACCGAATGGCTAGGCAGCAGTTCTGCGGAAAAGGACCTAGGGGTGACAGTGGACAAGAAGCTGGATATGAGTCAGCAGTGTGCCCTTGTTGCCAAGAAGGCCAATGGCATTTTGGGATGTATAAGTAGGAGCATAGCGAGCAGATCGAGGGACGTGATCGTCCCCCTCTATTCGACATTGGTGAGGCCTCATCTGGAGTACTGTGTCCAGTTTTGGGACCCACACTACAAGAAGGATGTGGATAAATTGGAGAGAGTCCAGCGAAGGGCAACAAAAATGATTAGGGATCTGGAACACATGACTTATGAGGAGAGGCTGAGGGAACTGGGATTGTTTAGTCTGCGGAAGAGAAGAATGAGGGGGGATTTGATAGCTGCTTTCAACTATCTGAGAGGTAGTTCCAGAGAGGGTGGTTCTAGACTATTCTCAGTGGTGGAAGAGGACAGGACAAGGAGTAATAGTCTCAAGTTGCAGTGGGGGAGGTTTAGGTTGGATATTAGGAAAAACTTTTTCACTAGGAGGGTGGTGAAACACTGGAATGCGTTGCCTAGGAAGGTGGTGGAATCTCCTTCCTTAGAAGTTTTTAAGGTCAGGCTTGACAAAGCTCTGGCTGGGATGATTTAATTGGGGATGGGTCCTGCTTTTGAGCAGGGGGTTGGACTAGATGACCTCCTGAGGTCCCTTCCAACCCTGATATTCTATGATTCTATGATTACTCTCTGGGAACGGTTTTCCAACTAGTTTTGCACCCACCTTATAGTAGCTCCATCTAGGTTGTATTTCCCTAGTTTGTTTATGAGAAGGTCATGTGAGATAGTATCAAAAGTCTTACTAAAGTAAAGATATACCACATCTGCCACTTCCCCCCCCATCCAAAAGGCTTCATTACAAACTCTTTCCCAGTTTAGAAACAGAAAAGAGGCATATCTGAACCCAATCATAAAATAATTTTTTTTAATAATTACAGGCACTCTCTTTCCTGAATGTTATTTTTTCCCATATCACCTAGAATTACTCCACAAATTACTACAGAAACAAACGTGACGTATGTTTATGGTTTTGTAGCGTCTTTTGTTCTGAAGGATCAAAGTGCTCCATAAAACCATGTATATAAAGCATGTCTATCCAGCACTGAAATGCAGCCACTTCTTGGTTGGAAAAGGCAGTAAGTCTCAGTCAGCAGCACTTCACAATAGATTCTGTGTGATTTTTCTTTTTAAGTAAATGAGGGGAATTCAGTAAGATCGCTAATTAAAACTACATGGGAAATCTTAAAGAGCCCTGCTGAGCCAAAAGGAGGCGAGGAGACTTACAGGGAGTTAAAAACCAAGCGGTGGTTCTGCACTAGATTTTCAGAGTTCTTAAGAATGCCACCCTGAGTTGGGGGAAACTGGGGAGAAACCTTAAGAGGTAAATCGGGCGTAGAGTAACTCAGTCTCAGAACCTTAAAAAAAGAACACAGGAATTTTCTGACTAGTTTTAGTCAGGAAACTCTGAAGAGAGTGCTACCTGTTTATAATTGTTTTTAGTCTTTAAAATCAATGCAGTGATATAAAAGAAGCACAGCCAGAGACTCCTCATTTATTTTGGTTGCAACCGAAAACATGTATGAAAATCTGACACTCAATAGATGGTTTTCTTTGCTTAACTTGCGTCTTGTTCTGAGTTTCTGTATAGTTGCACAGACCATTTCCCTGACACACCTTAATATTATATAACTATACTATTGTCAAAGGGCATGTTCTCACCAAGTTCAGTGACTGGATTTTCATTTCATTTCATTTTTCTTCAATTGAAAACATCTTCTCAATAGGAATGCAAACAAAAAGGATCTTCATAAGGCCTCATGGTCATTTGAGATGCTATGTTAATAATTAAGGTGCTCTACCTCCTATGTTAGCCAAGCTTTGCAGTCACTCAAGTGTGTTCCACGCTATAAGTAAGGCTACGTTTTAGTCACGGGTATTTTTAGTAAAAATGGACAAGTCATGCACAGTAAACAAAAATTTACGCCTCATGACCTGTTCATGACTTGTACTATATACCCTTGACTAAAACTTGGCGGGGGGGGAGGCCAGGGGCACTGCATGTGTGTGGGGTGGGAGGCAGAGAGGAAGAGGGCTGCAGGGATGGTGCCTGCAGGCGGAGGCAGCACGCAGAGCCGCCTGCCTGAGCCTCCGCGTAGGAGCTGAACATGCCAGTTGCTTCCGAGGAGCTCCCCCTCCAGGTAAGTGCCGCCCAGAGTCCTCATCCTCTCCTGCACCCCAACCCCCTGCCTCAGCCCTGAGCCCTCTCCCACACCCAAACTCCTGCTGCTGAGGGGCACGGGCGCAATGGCCCAAGACTGCCCCAGCAGCAGCCGGTGCAGCTGGCCTGGGGGCCGCCCGAGCTGCTCAGGCAGCCCCTGGCCTAGTCACACTGGCCACTGCAGAAGTCTCGGAAAGTCATGGAATTCATGACTTCCGTGACCTCTGTGACAGACTAATAGCATTAGCTGTAAGTAACTTATCTAAAAATGGAATATATATTTATAAATAAACCGCAGCATCATTTTCCTAGGCAGAAGTTTCCATACCTGTTCTGTAATTTAAAAATACTCACCATAACCAGATGTATAATTGGGGCCTCTGCGACCTCTCCCTCTTCCACTATATGACCTGGACCCTTGTACTGAGGAGAGTGTACTCTCATCAGTAGTGTAGCCCTTTTCCTTTTCAGGACCTCTGGTGGAAGGTGGTCTGAAACCCATACCAATCTGACGCAGTTGTTCATCAATCTGGAGCCTCTCCATCCTTAGCTGTTCTACTTCCTATTTTCACAGAGATAAAATCATAACCAGTTTTATAGCATTATGATATGTTGTTAGAAAGTGAACTCAACCCTAGGTGTCATTTTAGCAGAGTTTGTTTAACAGGTTTTCAGCTCTCCCATTACCAATCAATACAACGTCATCTATTTGATAGCTGTCTGAAGGCCAGAGAAAGCCTTACGTAGCAGTGTATTTACTTTGCTTATGCTTCATTAATGCTTAATTCCTTCTTTATACTTTGTGCTTAGTTAAGCTGGAGTCAGCACATCACATGCAAAAACAGTTGCCTGACCCATAACTGTTGTTGTTCTTCAAGACATGTTATGCGTATATATATTCCCCATCAGTACACTGGGCACGCACCACCTAGAGTTAGAGAATGTTAGCTAGAGTTAGCTGTCAGATTGGCACATGTGTGTTGCACTCGCTCAAGCCATGGACTAAAAGTATAAAGGGTGGAGCCACTTTGACCCCTACTCAGTTCTTTCTGACAGGAATCCTGATGTCTTCAGACTCTGATGTAGCAGGCAAGGAATGCGGGTTGTGGAATATATATGTTCACAACACATCTTGAAGAAAAACAGTTACTGTCCAGTTGGAGATCATCTGTGCAGAAGCCACCTAACTGATGTTATCACTACTAAGAACACTGTCTTTGCAAACAAGTAAGAAAGGGCTCCAGAGCCTATGAGCCAGGCACCATGGGGAGCTCCAATTAGTAGCCACATGCATTAAGAAGGAACCAAGAAGGGGTGAGGATGACTCTGCTCTTTTATATCCTTTGTCCACAGCACAAGGACAGGGTACATGTGCTGCTCTGATGAGTAATGCTAGCTTGCAGTCTCCAATTTGAGGGCACTGGGAATGCACACATATATGGAATTATATTCATGCAGAATCACTCAAAGGAGAACCTATGTTAAAATATTAAAATTGAACTGTTAAGTTAGGACATGCAAAAAATGTAGGTTAAAACACATTATCTCTGCTCCCTTGCATGTCTGCAAGACAATATGGTGAATTTTGAGATCACACACTTTTTATCAAATATATATATATTTATCAAAAATGTTCTCCTGCAGCCTTATTTTATTAACCTTATTTGTATTTTACATAATCTGTGATCACATAATTTAAGGCCAACGTAATGCATATGTGCAAGGGAACAAAGTTGAAGCCATACATACAACCTTAGGGCTAATCTTGAGAGAAACTGAACTTCTACTACTCCCATTGACGTAAAGGTGTTGCTCAAGAATGTAAGTATAAATTGATAATTTCCTCTAATAAGCATTTCCAAAATACAAAGATAAAAACATACCTTCAGGTAGGCAATATGGTATTCTAAAAGAACTTGGACATTTCCAATGTTTTCTTTAGTGCCAACAAATACGAATGGGACCATTCCCTGTAGAAACAAAACTATATAATCATTCTCAAAAAGAGCAACATATTATCAAAATCCCCACAAAAACCAACAACAAATTATCTGCCTAAGTATTGGAAATAAATTACAAACACCACGCATAACAATGTAGCCTGGACCGTGGGCTGTATACACTAGATACAGTCGGGGAAGGAGGCAACGGTGACAGACATTTCTGCACTTCTCTGAATCTCAGGCTACTGTAAGTTAGAGAAGCTTCACGATTGTTATAATTTATGCTTGGCTGCCTATGGCCCCAACAGACCATTTCAGCAGCTGCAGACTGCTGGGGCATGGGGACGTTCAGTCCATACCACTTTCCAGCCATGCCCACTTCACTAGTTGCCAGCACAGGAGTAGCTGTGGCGGTTTTATGCCATTCCCAAATTTCCCCAAAAAGCGAGAATCCTTCACTAGCAAGTTAAACCATCTTTTCAGCACAGATGAACCTTAAAGGGATCTAAATAAAAAACAAATAAGTATTGTCATGAATAAAGAGTGTAGCAACTACATGACAGTTGTGCACGGGATCAGGTGAGAGAAATGATACTTCAAATCAAAGAATTTGTTATTGAGAAATATATGTTTATTTAATCAACTTTCCTGAGTTGCTGAAGTTTAAATGTAAATTTATTGTTGGTGAAAGGTGCTGGTTTGACAGCCCTGATGAGTGAAGTCCTCTGTACATCCACGCAATAGGTACAGCACTGGCAGCTGCGGTGTTATCTTCCTCTACTCTGACCCACAAATGTGCCTCAACCAAAACCTACAAGGATCATCCTTTAGGGTGAAAGGATAATTCAGTCTCCAGAGCCAGTTCTTTGACCTTTCTCCTGGGAATGCCAAGAAGAGTCCCTCCCATCTAGTGTCAATTCTAGTAGTTTTTGTGATATGGATACCAGCCGACCAGCAACTGAATTGAGACCAAAATAATGTCTCATAGGCAACCAAACAGCCATTAGATACTAACAACCTGGGCTATATATGAAATGGAGATCCCAAATTAACCCACTGAGTGATCCAGTACCCCACCCCTTCCCAGACTTGTCAACTTTCTACAAATACTTTGTTAATATTACACAGAAAGTAAACAGTATTGCCTTTGCTCCTTCCAAAACCATTTGTTAACAAATTGCATTAGCGTAATTTTCAAAAATACAAGTTTAATAGTTGAAGGAAAGATTAAATAACTTACATCTTCTCTGGGCAGTTTGTTTTCATTGTCCCCTTCAATCCTGACCCGGACGACTCCAGACTTGTCTACAATCTCCTGAATCACTTTTCCATTTTTTCCAATAACTTTTCCTTGAGGGAAGGAAAATAGCTATATTTGAATCAATGATTAAAAGTTTTCTCTAACATAGTTTCCTTGTCATTTCCAAGTTACATGTACTAAAACAGTAATAGTAATAAAATAAAAGTCATGCTTTATGAGCCCAATTATCCACTACCTTGGACTTTCTGTCACATTTTTCATCTATTTTACATAGGTACATATGACAACACAAGGTACAAATGGGAGAATCAATGCAGTGTACAAATCAGATATGTGCCATGGATGGTGGTGGCTGGATCCAGATTAGGTTCAAGTGTGAGGCTGAATCAGGGCTAAGATTCAATGGCACTATAATTTTACAAGCTCTTCTTGCTTTATTTCAATGTATCTGAACAAGAACCAGGAAATATTAGATTCCTATATAATGGAGGTTTCAGAGTAACAGCCGTGTTAGTCTGTATTCTTAAAAAGAAAAGGAGTACTTGTGGCACCTTAGAGACTAACCAATTTATTTGAGCATAAGCTTTCGTGAGCTACAGCGATGAAGTGAGCTGTAGCTAACGAAAGCTTATGCTCAAATAAATTGGTTAGTCTCTAAGGTGCCACAAGTACTCCTTTTCTTTATATAATGGAGCTAACCCAGAATTTTAAAAAGTCCTTCTGAAACAGAGATCTTTCAGACCTACAGTCATACCACCTTGCACAGTGATCTTGTCAAATCTCATGAGATAAACAGTGCTGAGACATACAGTAGTCATTCCTTTATAACTGACTTCCAAACTCAGGGGTGTTTCAGTAGCTGGATGATTCAGTAGATAGCATTCCTCTCCTAGCACCGAACCCATGACAAAGTATGATGTTAGAAGCACTCTGCTTAATGAGATGCCTTCTATCAGAGGATATATAAAACTGAAGTCCAGGAGTACACTGGGACAAGGAGCCTTAGGAAAATGTGTGTTTTATCTTGAAGAGGAAGTGGGAACCAACCTTTATTTTTCAACAGCTTAAGAGACAGGAATTATTCTAATCATAGAATCATAGAAATTTAGGGCTGGATGGGACCTCGAGAAGTCATGAAGCCCAGTCCCCTGCATTAAGGAAGAACCAAGTAAACTTAGACCATCCCTAACAAGTGTTTGTCCAACTTGTTTTTAAAAGCTTCCAAAGATGGGCACTCCATGACCACCCTTGGAAGCCCATTTCAAGGCTTAACTACCCTTACAGTTAAAAAGCTTTTCCGAATATCTAACCTAAATCTCCCTTGCTGCAGATTAAGACCATTACTTCTTGTCCTATCTTCAGTGCACATGCAGAACAATTGATCCTCTTTATAACAGCCCTTAACATAGTTGAAGACTATTATCAGGTCCTCCCTAAGTCTTCTTTTCTCAAGACTAAACATGACCAGTTTTTTTAAAGGTCATGGTTTTCAAAACTTTTTATCATTTTTGTTGCTCTCCTCTGGAATCTTTCCCATTTGTCCACATCTTTCCTAAATTGTGGTGCTCAGAATCTGACACAGTGCTCCAGCGGGGGCCTCACAAGTGCTGAGTAGAGCAGGACAACTACCTCCTGTGTCTTACATACGACATCCTGTTAAAACACCCAGAATATTAGCCTTTTTTGCAGCTGCATTATATTGTTGACTCATATTCAGTCTGTAAACACCCAGATCCCTTTACCACCTCGACAGGTATTCCCCATTTTGCAGTTGTGCATTTGATTTTTCCTTCCTAAGTGAAGTACTTTGCACTTGTCTTTATTTAATTTCAAACCAATTCTCCAATTTGTCAAGGTCATTTTGAATTTTAAACCTGTCCTCCAAAATGCCTCAAGTCCTTCCAGCTTGGTGTCATCTGAAAAATTTTTAAGCATACTCTCTACCCCATTATCCAAGTCATTAATGAAAATACTGAATGGTACTGGACCCAGGACTGACCCCTGCAGGACCCCACTAGATACGCCCTCCCAATTTGACAGCAAACCACTGATCACTACTCTTGGGCTATGGTCTTTCACCTAGTTATGCATCCATCTTATTGTAATTTCAATCACATTTCCCTAGTATGCTTATAAGAATCACGCAGAACTGTGTCAAAAGCCTTACTAAAATCCAGGCATATCATGTCTATTGCTTTCCCCCATCTACTAGGTGAGCAATCCTATCAAAGAAGGAAATTAAATTGTTTGGGCATGATTTGTTCTTGACAAATCCATGCTGGCTATTCCTTATAACTAGGGCCAGCATTTTCCAGCAATGAAAAGAGTAATTTCAGATTTTCAAAGCCGTATATTTTGGAAATTCAGAATATGCATTACATTAATGCAAAAAATATTGTATTGTATTGTAATACTGAGGGCTACTGCAAGCTGTGTGCTGAGGGGAGTGGGAAGGAGCCAGCTGTATTCAGGGGAGGTGAATGGGGGAGAGGTGCTGTGGACACTGCTGAGAGCAGGTGCAAGCATCGTCTGTTTTGCAGCATGGTGAAGGAGCCCTGCCTGCCCAGAGGAAGCTCCGCAGCGGTTTTGCTGAGCACAAGCCTGTGTGAGGCAAGGAGAAGTTGGCAGTGAGTCTCAACAGCAACCAGTCCCCAGCCTCTGCCCCGCACCCTGGGAATGAGTCAGGTGGGTTGCCAGATTTCTATTGCATTAATAGCCCAAAGTCACTTAAAAATTAGCCCAGTCTGTTTACTGAAAGTGGGGCTTGCTCAAGGGGTGTGCCTGTACAAGGAGGAGGTACCGGGGGGAGGTTTACTGGAGGAAGTATTTGGGGGGGATGCTGGAAGGAATGTTTGCCGGGGGGGGGGGAGTGGCTGAAGGGAGTACCTGCGGCCTCACATTTGAAGTTGGGGGCAGTGTCGCGATCCCTGTCATGGTGGCAGGGTGGCTGGTGCAGGCCTAGGATGCAGTGCCAGCCCATCAGTCAGTGCCTCCCTGCAAGCCTCTCCCCCCTCCCCAGGGCGGGGATCTGGGGAGGGTCGTGAACCTTCGCTCCACCCACTTGTCATCTCTGCTCCAGCCTCTGCCCTGGGGATGAGTCATGTGTCTTCAGGTAGAAATCTGGGGGTGCATGACCCTGTGTGCCTTGCCCATCCTCTGATTGGGGAGTCCCGAAAAAAAATGGCAATTTCCGGCCCAGCCCTATTTATAACTTTATCATCATCCAGGTGCTTACAAACTGATGGTTTAATAATTTGCTCCTGTATCTTTCCAAGTATTGAAGTCAGGCTGACTGGTCTATAATTCCCCAGGTCCTCCTTGTTCCCCTTTTTAAAGATAGGTAGTGCTATGTTTGCCCTTCTCCAGTCTTCTGAGACCTTTCCTGTCCTCAAAGATAATTGTGAGCAGCTCAGAGATTGCATAAGGGTATTTAAAGAACCAGCTGAAGCATACATTTTAATTGTTTTAGGAATTTCATCCATAAAAAAAGAAGTATTTCTGCCCCCAGATTGAAAAACTCAACTAAAAGGACACACGATACCTCAAGAATGATTAGCATACATGAAAGGATGTGACTATCATACTGTTGCTTGTGTATACTGCAGCACACTATTCAGAAGGCATAACCAGTCAAATAGGACCAAGCATTGGACAATGGTATCTTAGTTGAATAACCATGCCATTCTTAGGGTTCAAAGGAAATTGTTTTCTTTTAAACTTAATTTTGAAAGATCATTTTCAACATTAATTTTTAGAGAGGATTTTTTAGGCTCCATTCCTCCCACCCCCATTTATCAATTTAAACTTTACACAAGCAGAAAATTTAAAAGCATATGACTGCACAAGTCTGAATCTGTTATGAATCTCAAAGCGCAACCATAATATCTAAGCATTCTATTTAATATTTTTTAAATGAATTACAAGATAGAATTGACAACAAGATGTCCACATGTGCAACACAGATGTTTTTAACACTCCTGTTATACCTATTGTTATTTAAAAAGGTTTTAGTTTCTGAGTGAAGGGAGAAACTGTCAAATACTGGCATCTAAGCCTTCTATGCATAGTCATACTAAACAGGCTTTCTTTCCCCAAATTTTCAAGTGTTTTAAACTTTTAGCAGTATTACATACCAACAAGATTTCTGGGCACCTGAATAAAATCTTCCACAAATTCCAAGTAACTTCTAGCCTTTTTTACTGCATCAGCACTCTAGAAATGAACACAATAGAAGTTTATTTTGAATGCAATATGGTAAAAATAAAGCCCTGTTACAACAGCTGGAAATCCTCCAGACAACAGCAGGAACGAGATTAAATTCATCTAGTTTTGAACTAAATGTTGAAGCAATAACGGAGTTTTAAAAGCTCAGGAACAAAACAGGGGCAAGAGAGTGGCATAAATAGTGAAAAACAATGTTTTCACGCTACTTAAAACAAAGTTTTTATATTCTGCAATTTACCACAATTAAAACCAACTCTCAAAAATATCCCCTTTATGTTATCTTGCAACAGCTCACTGACTTTTAGAGAGACCATCAACTGGGAAGCCTATATATTCTTTTTTCCCCAAAATGGCGCACGCAATTTCTGAACCGATATGCTTGTACAGAAATATCTATATAACTAACATCACATCACAAAGAAAAAACAGTTTACCTACCCTTCTGTAATTATTGTTCTTTGAGGTGTGTTGCATATGTTCATTTCATCTTGTGCACAATTGTAGTTCAGGAAAGCTTATGCTCAAATACAGTTGTTAGTCTCTAAGGTGCCACAAGTACTCCTTTTCTTTTTCCCCTCAGTGATACCCGTTGGCGTGGTTCGAGCACCTTCTGCCACTTCGCGCCACTGTGTGCGGGTAGAGGAGGGCAGAGCCATTCCCAACTCCCCTTAGTTCTATCATACTGAACAGACTCCGATAACGAGGGGAAGGCAGGCAGGCAGGGGTCATGGAATGGACATATGCAACACAACTCAAAGAACAACAGGTACGGAATGGTAGGTACTGTTTTTTGTTCTTCAGTGCTTGCACATGTCCATTCCATTGTAGATGACTCACAAGGAGACAATCATGGAGGCAACTGTAAGACATCCAGTCTGAAACTGGCATGGTCTCTGGACTGATGGGAAATGGCATAACACAAAGCAAAAGCGTAGGCTGATGACAAAACGTCACCGCTTTACAAACGTCCATTATAGGTACTTTCACCAAGAAAGCCGTGTGCTGTGCCTGTGCTGCAGCAGAATGCACCAGTTTCCTAACTGGTGGGGTTAGATTAGCCAACTGGTAGCATAAATGAAACCATGAAGAGATCCAGGATGAAATCATCTGAGTAGTCACTGGACTGCCATTAGTTCGGTTTGTAACCACAACAAACAACTGAATAGAAGACCTAAAGGACTTAGTATGCTCCAGATAGAAAACTAGAGCCCTTCTGGCATCCAACAAATGCAGTCTCTCCTCATCTCTATGAGCGTGAAATTTTGGAAAGAAAGCTGGCAAAGAGACTGCCCGGATAACATAAAAATCGAAGACTACCTTAGTGAGAAATTTTGGACGAGGGCGAAGATGAACCTTATCCCTAGGGAAAACGGTGTAGGGAAGAGGATGCTAGGGGCCACCCCTCTGGCCAAGAAAGGGGCCACTAGAAATGCTACCTTCATAGAGAGGTGCATCAGAGAGCAAGTTGCAAGGGGTTCAAAAGGTGGGCTCATCAATTCTACTAGGACCTAGACCTTAAGGAAGGATGGGATCTTGCACATGTGGATACAATATGACCAAACACAGGAGGATTTTTCTGAAGCAGGTTGCATGGTATTAAGACAGTTCGGACACGTCATACTGTCTCATTCCCCAGTATTCTGTACTATAAAGTAATGTTGAAAGTATGCAGCTCTGATAAATTTTGAGTTTTGTTTTGGTCTTGTGTTTTAATGATTTCCAGACTGTATTTAAGTTCCTGAAGGTGCTCCTGGCTTTTTGGATCTTGTTCCGGATGTCCTAGTTTGTTCCACTGTCCTAGCTGATGGTGTTGCCCAAGTATGTGAATTTTTCTACACTGGTGAGAACATAATCCTCTACCTGTACTGGTGATGGTGAAGCAATATTAAAGGTCATGATATCTGTCTTATTGCGGTTGATATTCAGTCCAATTTGCTGGCTGAATGAGTTTAGTCGAGTTTTTTTTTCCTTGTATATGGTGTTGGGTATGTGATAGGAGAGCGAGATCATATGCAAAGTCCAGGTCTTCAAGGGATGAGAAGGGTATCATGACCATGCATGGGGAATGAAAAAATCTGTAATTTCCTAACTTTTCAGTACTTGACTTTGCAACCTAAATAACTAACACAGTTTTTTGTATGTAATTTCCTAGGAATTCTTTTGTTTAAAGAGTAAAAACGAATTCTGTTCTGTGCAACTGTAACAACCCCTCATTATGCATTTATCGGCAGGGTTTGAACCCTGAACGTTCAGTGTAAGATGGACACCACTTGAGCTACAGAACTATCTCCATAAACTGGCAGTAAGAATAAAGACGACTCCCAAAGGAGGAAATGATTGGACACAGTCACTACATACTGGGTCCGAGGAGTGGTCGGAGTAAGCCTAGTCTGGCTCTCTCCCACCTGGCATTGGGGGGGGGCTCATACCTTCCTGGGTGGATGGGCACAGTGGGGCCATGTGGTAGGGGTTATCACAGAAACATAGGGCTAGTAGGAACCTCAAGAGGTCATCTAGTACAGCACCCTGCACTGAGGCAGGACTACATAAACCTAGACCATCCCTGACAAGTGTCTGTCTAGCCTGTTCTTAAAAATCTCCAATGACAGGGATTCCACAACCTTTTTTGGAAGCCTATTCCAATACTTAACTATTCTTATAGTTAGAAAGTTTTTCCTAATATCTAACCTAATCTCCAGTGATGCAGATGAAGATGACTGCTTCTTGTCCTACCTGATTGATTAGTTAGCAATGAATGAGTAGTGATCTGTAAATAACATTATATGTGAACTGTGCTCCAGTCTATTAAAGGAGAACAAACTGTGCATACTATATCCTCTTAAATATCAGCTTTACTTCTGGAGCTTTCAATCACATTACAAAAACTCCATGGCCGGAATGAAGAAATCTAAACAGAATTACAAATCTAACTTGGTTGTCATTCAAGATGCTAGGGAGAGAAACAGAGAAGACTGGAGTTGCAGAATGATGGAATAGGCAGTGCCCAAAAAGAAAAAGGAAAACAAGAAAAAGGTGTGTGGGGAGCAGGGGCTTTACTGGTAAAAAACTACATACACTCAAAACAAAAAAAGTAACAGCTAAAGTGACAAACATTTATTACATGATACTATAGTAATTTTCATCTTCAAAATGCTTTACAAATATGAGACAGTTAAATATACCACCTACAACACTCCCCCTGTGAAGTGTGTATTTTTATTCCCACTTCATATCTGAGGAAACACAGATGTTAAGGTGACTGGCCCCACAAACTGTGTCAGAGTTGGAATTAGAACTCAGCAGTCTCTGACTCTTGTTCCTGTGCTCAGATCTCATCTCTGTGCAGTAGTAATAAACACCAGAGTAAACCAACTATTAAATATAATGAACAAAAAAATATTTTCCCCTTACCTCTCCATAGATCCTGAAAGTACCAGTATCTTCCTCAAGCTCAATTGCAGTTACTCCTGGAACTTTCCTCGCTTGCTGTATGTTACTACCATGTGTACCTATTGCAAGTCCCATTAAATCTTCTCTTACAACAAATTCCTCATGAAATGCTGCTGCAAGTTGTTTTGTGCACTAGGGAGAGGTGAAAGAATTTGTCCACCATAAGAAGGAACTCAAAACTGAACACAGTTAAATGATTACTTTAAACCAGAGGTGGGCAAACTACACCTGCGGGACCATCCTGCCCTCCCCCACAGCCATGCTACCGTGCGGCCGGCCAGGCTGCAAGCTCCTGCTGCTTGGAGCTGCATGGTAAGGGGGCAGGGAGGTTGGCTAAGGGGCAGGGGGTTCCGGGGGGCAGTCAGGGGACAGGGAGCGGTTGGATGGGGTGGAGGTTCTGGCAGGGGAAGCGGTTGGCTAGGTGTGGGAGTCCCGGAGGGCCTGTCAGGGGGCAGGGGTGTGGATAGGAGTTGGGGTGGTCAGGGGACGGGGACGGGGGGGGTGGTGTTTGGATAAGGGGTGGAGTCCCAGGGGGGAAAGGGGCGGTCCCGTGGGAGGGGGCAGTCAGGGGACAAGGAGTGGGGAGGGGGGGTTGGATGGGTCGGGGGTTCTGACGGGGGCAGTCAGGGGGGTGGGAAGTGGGAGAGGGCAGATAGGGGGCGGGGGCCTGGCTGTTTGGGGAGGTACAGCTCTCCCTACCCAGCCCTCCATACAGTTTCACACTCCGATGTGACCCTCGGGCCTAAAAGTTTGCCCACCCTAGCTTTAAACAATTCCATTCTAAGACAGCTTACTTCTAAGTGTTTTGTAGCTTCTTCATTTCTTGACATGAGCATTAGCTTGGTACGAATGCTGCGCAAATGCATGTCACTCAATATATTTACTCTCTTCACTGTTGATTCACTGGCAGACTACAAAAAGAGAAGAGGTAAGATAAACAATATCCCCTTTTGATAAAGAAAATCCACACTCAGAGGGCAAATTACTGTTTAAATTAAACTGAATTGTAAATATAAACCCAATTTATAAAGTCACTTATTGATATTAGCCTTCCTCAAGGTCTCAAAACAAGACATACCAAGAAAAATTCAGCTTCCAAAACAAAACCCCACAAATCCATTACCATTGGCTCAGTGTGTTTACAGCCACAGTTTTTCTATTGGACCTATACAGCAAATGTTGCACTGAGATAATCCCACTATGGATTTATTATAAATTGCTAGATTATTTTATTTAATCTTTTTACCATATATGTGCAGGTCACCCACTTATTCACTGGAAAATCCAAAAAAGTAAGACGGGAAAACTGAATCTGAACAGGCAAACTTATATGGAAAATTTTGTCCCAAGGAAACAGAACTGCAAAGACGAATTATTGCTGAGGAAAATAGTACTTAACAGGAGCAGACGCAGGACTCCCCAGGCCAAACCCAATTTCAGTCTCATTGCATTTGAACAAATTTGTGAGACTTGCCTTTATATTTTTCCAATGATATTTGGTGACTGAGTACTAGCTTTTCCCTGGCTTTGACTGACAGTTAAAAATAGATAAAAGATACGACTAACTACCCTTAACCTATCATTCTGTATATTACAAAATCTCCCTAAGGCTCCCAATTCCCTAAATGGCTATGGTTATGATTATGATCTCCCTTCTACATACAGTAAAGGGAATTTGTGCAAGAGTGCCTTTACCCTCAAAAGAGACTAAGCACGTTACTTCTGCAGAAAGCTGCATCGCAGGAAACATCAATCAGAGAGACCAAAGATCACTCCCAAACTCAGGCTGCCTTTGATGCAGTACTGACACCAATCCAATGAGCCTACTCCAAAATACATATTTTAAAATGATATTAAGAAGACACACATATATTAAACTGCTTGAAATGTGCATAGCCTTACAAATAAATCAGTTCACAGAGATCTGCAGGCAGCACACAACAATCTGTAGTAGGTAATATCCTGAATATTCATGCACTGTCTGCACAAAAAATAAACTGATTTCTTACCAGTATTATTAACTGTGTAGTTTCAGCATGGTAGAAAATTCGACAAGCTCCTACAGCTTTCTTAAAATCCTTATGTGCATTTTCATTAGCGCACCTAGAGAAATGAATGTTGCAAAGGTTACTTCAGCTGAAGAATCATATCAATAAGAACTGTGCAACCCTATTACTCAAAAATGAGAATGTGGCAGTAGTCTATAATAAGGAATGTTTCTCAGCCTGGAAAACGCTAGACTAATTCAAGGAGATGTGCTGGGGATCCACCTGATTTCACACTGCAAATGTGGAGGAGGTAAAGCTGTCTGCAGCTCCTTGAAAGTCTTCTTTTTCTACTTGTTACTCTATACTGCAGCTGGCTACAGTAGCAGCTCAGGTGTACAGGGTTGCAGGCTCAGGAAGCAGCCTGTTTGATCAAAGATTTCTTCTTCCAGGGCATTCAGCTCAACCACAAAAGAGTATGTGGTCCAACTACCAGAAAAATCACCAAGCCTTCTGGTGGAGGGAAGAAGGAGGGGGCAGGTACAACTGTCCCAGAGTATGACATGAGGAACATTTCGGGGTGGGAGGTCATCACTCGGTGGTTCCAGCAAGGCTGATTGGAAACCGCATCACTTTCATATTTGATAGAAGTATCACAGTTAATGCCATTTAACTTTAAACTACAACAGGGGTATTCTCTCCAAAAAATAACCTAAGACAAGAATTTAAGATACATATATGAAGAAAGGAATATGCCATGTTGAAATGAATAATAGTGAAGTTACAGTATGTAGAGCTACTCACGCATCTCTCAGATCTTCAGGAACATCCACTGTGCACTTAAAGAACGTGTTCTTTTTGACAGTTTTATTTTGATTCACAGGTCGAAGTCGTTCAAATGTGACTATTTCATTGTACGTGGCATCACAAGCAGCATATTCAATGACATAAAACTAAGGGGGGAAGTTTAAAAAAATCATTAATTAAAAGTAACCATTTCATAAAGATAACAGCTACTATCTCCACCATCAAGGAAATATAAAATATGGGTTTACACATTAAAACATAGTTCTATTTTGACAAAGCTGTGCTCCTGCAATGTTATATGCTTGTGCAGACCTCCTCCCCCAGTGTCCCACTGAAGCCAATGGGTCTCTATATGGGTGGAAGGGTATGCAGATGCACATCGCATTGTACGACTGGAAACTAAGTTTGCTCAGTTTGTAAATCAAATACTGTTTTTTTTCTAACTGCCAATTCAATCCAGAACCTGAAATTTAAACTGTCTTCATTCTGCTTAGTACATTCCGTATACTACTAAAGGTAATGCAACAAGAAATTAGCCAACAATTTTTCCAAAAATGCTTGAGGGAGAACAGAATCCAGCTAATTTTACGCTGATGTATTGGCTCTGAGGGAACAGCAGTAAAAGTTAAATCCACTGTGTAAATAGGCTGACCAGCAGATAACTATTGGACATAAAGGAGGAGGAGGTATACTTCCGTCTCAGGCTATGGTGCTACTCTGTATTTACATATATTTATTTCAGTTTCAGAAGACAAAAGGTCTGGAAGATGTAAAAGCTGCAACTATTCCGGCCCTACTGCCCAACCCTTCAGTACACAGGAAGGCCCACAAAGCTCAGCTTTGTGCCGGGATACACATTTTTTACATAGCCTTCGCAAATCAAATCCTCTTTTCCATCCCATGGGGCAACTGCGAAAGAGCAGGCAGAATCTTCCCCTGCTCCTACACAAAAACAGATACTTGTTTTTTGTCAACATAAGCAGACTTGACTGAAATACACACAAGGAACAGATATGTTTGGTAAGGCGGTGCCATAATTTCCATAGGGTCTTTTCTGACTATAACCACATTTTAAATTAAATTTGGTTCACGGAACGATTTCTTTATTCACAAATAAATGATTACATACAACTATTTGCCATATGTATTGTCTACATAAACTTTTGTTCTCTTCCAGTTTATCTTTAATAATGTTTAAAATGCATATACCTGCAACCACATTTTGAAGATAAAAGAAGTCCACATGCTCTTAGAGAAGTAATATTTCTTACCACATTTAGAAGTAGTTCAGTTTAGCAACATGCCATATAAACAGATTACCAAAAATAATCATATGGTTGTTCATCATCAGATACATCTTTTGTGAATTTCAGATTAGTCCCTTGTTTAGCAAACTTAAATCTGAGAATACCCAGCCAAAGCATCTATAATGAACTCAGAAGTGAATAAAAGCTCGAAGATTATATAATTTGTAACAGATGTAATTCTATCAGTACTTTGCAAGGACAAGTAAGGATACAGGAGATCAAAGCACGAAAACAACTTCTACTGTCAATAACTCCGAAAGGTTTGGGGAGTCAGAAGGCTAGGTAACTTCTCATTTGTGTATATAATTAAAAACATATTTGTTGAGTTACATTAAAAAAAACCATAGATCGCACACCTATGGATATTTGTACTGTTTCTCACTATTTAAATCCAAGTCCTCTAACCAAAAACTTTAGTTAGCTGGTTGGTAGTAAAATCCCAAGCTGCTGTGACTTACAAAGAGAAATATATTAGGGCTTGTATTTAACTCCACTGCAGGGGAGTTGACAGATGTTCTAATAAGTATCTTTCAATGTCACAAGTTTAATGTGTCTTTTCTTGCCAGCTTGTTAATCCACACAGATCACAATAAGAGAGAAGACACGTAGATAGGTGACTGTCCTTGACAATGGTTTATTTCGAATGATGTGCTTTAAATAACTCCTTGCCCCAATGGAGTTCAACAGAAGCAACAGAAGTATTAACAAAAAGCTAAGCAAAGATCAAAGCTCATGAAATACGTAACAAATTTTTTATTCCCAACCTTCTTTCCTGACTGAGTTTCTGGAGACGTACTACTCACTAAAGACAAAAAAATACAGCTTTTCAGTTGGAAAGGGTCACTCCAACTAGTACCCATCATATCAATTCACAATACAGCAATAATATTTTAATGGGACAGCGTCAGATATGTAGCCATGATTCACTAAACCTAAATTAAGTGTCTGAGTGTGCAAATCATTTTTGTGCCTGCAACTGTAATGGCTATCTATATGAATAACACACATGGAAGACTAGTAGAATCAGGCTCCTATTTATTACAGGAGCGCTGCTGAGATAAACATCTTTCAAAAAGCATCTTTGTCCATATTAAAGATTATCACCTTCAATTATTACTGATTTACTGAAAACTTTAGAAATCTAACTTGCTGTTCTAGCTATTCTGGTTATTTCTAGGGCACTCACCACCACAGCCAACTTTCATTTTTTTTGTTATTTGTATTTTATTCAGTTTCAAAATGAAATAAGACATTGAACAGTTTTACTTTCCAAATCTCTTGGTTGATGCATGATGCTGTTGTATTTGGGTTTCCGATTCAGCAGGGCAATATTTAAATGCAACTCCACGCCCAATCCCCACTCGGAAAAAAACCAACCCCCAAACTTTTAACTGAAATATGTAATTAAATTAATGAAATGTCATCATGTTAGGATTTATAGTTTAAGCCCAAAATTCAGTGTATTTTTAACTATTCATGGAAATATATATTTAAAAAAAAAAAAAAAAAAACCATGTCCTTGCTGCATTTTAATCAAAACATGGCTGCATTTTCCTAGTGCATAGGAAGAGAAAACAGAAGAGCATTGAAAAATGTTTTGAATAGAAACAACAGATTAGTCTCCTTTCACTAAGATGAGTGAAATGTAAAGAGAAAAATACAGTAGCACCTCAAAAGTTACAAACACCTCAGGAATGGAGGCTGTTCATAACTCTGAAACATTCATAACTCTGAACAAAACATTATGGTTGTTCTTTCAAAAGTTTACAACTGAACATTGACTTAATATAGCTTTGAAACTTTACTACACAGAAGAAAAATGCTGCTCTCTCTTTTTTTTTTTTTTTAGTAGTTTACATTTAACACAATACTGTACTGTATTTGCTTTTTTGGAGGGAGGTCTCTGCTGCTGCCTGATTGCGTACTTCTGGTTCCAAATGAGGTGTGTGGCTGACTGGTCAGTTTGTAAGTCTGGTGTTCATAACTCTGAGGTTCTATTGTCCATACAAATGATGTGAAGTAACTTAATTATTAGAACTGAATCAAATTTAAAATCTTATCAGGATGTTTTGCTTTACATATTTTTTTAACCTCACCAATTCTGTTTGCAAAATAGATTGATTTGTTTCAATTATGTCAGAAACTAAGCATACAGATATACAAGGTACCACACGTAGTCCAGAAATGGTTCATCCAATATATGGACACATAACTCAGAGTTAGGCATGCAATGTAGTTCTTACAGAACCTAAACAACCAGATCCAAGGTATACTGACTCAAGGTGTGTCGAACACACAAAATGGCAAGTATCCAGGAGCCATCCCCATTTACAAGAAAAAATATTTATTGTTATTCCCACCTGTGCACAGTCAGCTAGCTACAAGTTACCATCGCCAAGAGCAGCCTTAATTTATGACCTAACCTGCTATCATGGTTTTGTGTTGGTAATACTTAACTTTGGGTTCCTTTTTCTTTTTTCAAGCTATGCTTTGTTTCTGTATTAGCAACAACCCACTCTCACCTGCTCTGTTTTTCAAGTCCTTATATCACAGTGTCATTTCTCCATCACAAGATACTGCACACAGATTTAATGAGTCTTGCAATATTTACCTTCCATACTTGCTGCACTTCAAATGGGAGCAGATAGTCCTAAGTTTTAAAGTAACTTACCTCTCCTTTCATCATTCGAACTTTTGCCAGCCACCAGCCACAAGGTTCTTGGTCATTTGCTCTTGAGTAAACCTGAAAGGAAAAAAATACAAGAGGAGCATATTTAAAATATATACAATTAAAAAACCTAACAGGTTAAACTAGCAATGAAGCAGAAATTAATCTTTTTCAACTAACACAGCTAATCACCAAGATAAAAGCCACCAGTAGCATAAGATACTGCAATTTAAAACTATTTTTGTATAAAATTCCAGTTAGCCAGTCATATGTGCATCTCATCATATAAATTTTCATAACATTGCACTACACAGATTAGGTGTGCAGATTCTGTTAATAATGCACAAGGCAGCTTTTTGAGGGGTTTAAAACTAGAGTGTAAAAATTTACTCAATAGCATGTGAAGACACAGGATTCTTGCAATTCCACAATAAATTCAAACACTTTTCTATGAGGCTAAAGTGCACAAGAACCAAGAAATTCACAGGTTTCAGAGTAACAGCCGTGTTAGTCTGTATTCGCAAAAAGAAAAGGAGTACTTGTGGCACCTTAGAGACTAACCAATTTATTTGAGCATGAGCTTTCGTGAGCTGTAGCTCACGAAAGCTCATGCTCAAATAAATTGGTTAGTCTCTAAGGTGCCACAAGTACTCCTTTTCTTTTTAAGAAATTCACAGTTAAGGATGCCATTTTGTCTATAGTTTACCCAGTGACCTGGACTCAGGTCAGCTCATGATAGTGCCACTATACGTACTCCAGTACCTACTTAACATCAGGCAAGTGATGAATTGGGGGACATTCACAACTTTGAATTGCTCCACATGTTTAGTATACATTAATGTAGTACACTAAAGCCATCAGAAAGAAATTTATAAGTAGCCAGGGCAAAACAGACAAAAATATACCCTGCACTGGCCACACTGACTATGCCAAATAGGTTTTTTTCCTTGATACTACAAATGGAAAAATGTGCACGTGCTATGGCAATTCTTAAGACTACATGTCTAAGATCCATCACTCACAATGCTGCTGTCAATACCACCTTCCTTACTGGGTGTTTTAACTTGAAAAAAACCCACCATCTTCCCCTCCACCCCCCAAAGCTTGTCCTGTACATATATGTAGCACCCTTTAATAGTAGGAATTTCATGAAGAGATACACTACCCTTCTCCGAGTATCATAATCAATAAGGCAAGTCTAGTCCAGTCACCTCAAGAACATTTATGTTCAAAAAATCTTGATGGAAAATATAAGATTCAGCCAGTAAAAACAGAGAACTAAATCACCATCAATAATAAAGGATCAATCAAGATGAAAAAAGGCAGTTTCATACTGGATGGAGTGGTACACATATTATCCCTAAAACACAAATATACTTTTTCAAGTTTTTTTTCCCCCTCACACCACCATTTACAACCAAGCACTCTCTGGAGAAAAAGATCTGCACCTTCCTGGCCCATCTTTCCCTATCTGATCCTACTCTGAGGTCAGAAGGCTGAACTTGTGACATCATATTCATTCCCACGGCAAAACCAGTGCTATAAACAGATTGTGATTTTACTGCAGAATGAAACAGATGGAAAAGCAGGGTTGTGATAGAGAATGAAAATATTCAAGCCAAAAAAAAAAAAATAGGAAGAAGTGCAGAGAACAGAGTAAACCACTGACCAAACAACATTGGAGTTTAGCACACATTCTCTTTTTCATGTTTAATTCTTAGCAAAAATCCCTCTTAAAAAAAAAAAAAAAAAACCAAAAACCCAAAACATAACTGTTCCATTCACATTTAGGAGTGAGGTCTAGCTCTCCTTTGCTCAATGGAATGTAAAATGACACCAGGCCCAAGGGAGGAAAAGACCATGGGAAGAGAGATTGCCAAATATTTCTACTCTGATAAACAAAAAGGAAAGCAGCAGCTTAACAGATCTTTTAATATAATGATGGATACTTGGGCGCTCAGCAGACACACAAAATATCTATCCAGAATGGGTCACAGAAGAGCAATGAAAAGCAATCTCTCTTCTCTAAGGATCAGAATATTTCCAGCACAGCCTTCTCAGTGTTTGTTAGTCATTGGAGAAAGGAACCAGGCTTTCGGCTAGAACTCTGATCTAGCACATTTTGCTGACAATAGGTCATCAGGTTGATCTTGCTTTCCATTCTTGATTTACTGCATATTCCCATAGAATTTTATTAGAATGCGGCTAACCGTAACTGCCATAATCAGACATACCACTGTAACTAATAATTCATACTCCAATAGCACCTTTCGTGCAAGGAACTCAGTTCTGTACTCTTAATGTTGCTGGGAAGTAGATAAGAATTTCCATTTTAAAGATGGATAAACTGATGCACTAAGCTAATGGAATTGGTGAAGGTAATACAGTGAGTCAGAAGCTGAACTGGATACAGAATTTGCTTTTCCTCAGACCAGTGTGCTAACTACTAGACTACACTGCTTCTCTGCAAAGCTGTATCTTATAATACATGGGCACAGACCTTTCCTACCCCTAATTTTAGCACCCATTAAAAGAAGTGCGTAACTTATTCAGAGATACATTTGCCTTTTCTAATAGTGACATTGTTACACTAATGCTTACTTTACCATTACCAGTTTATAAAACTCAGTTTACTTCTTCATTGGTATACCGTGCATTTCTGATAAAGATGTTGAGAGATTCTTGCTGTGTAACTTTGCAGAGCAAATTCCAGGTCACACTGTCTAAGCCTGTGAATGTTCTTCGAACAGTGTTCAGTCAGGATGGAATTTTCCATTGCATTGAGTCTAGATCAATTTACTGTATCAACTCTGCTATGCTATTGCGCTTCCCACATGACATTCTCATAAGCAAGTAGGGAAACGTGGACTAGATTAATTTACTGTAAGGTAGGTGTATAACTGGTTGAAACACCATACTCAACAAGCAGTTATCAATAGCTATCAGTTATCCCATTAGCTGAAGTGGTAGAGATCTGTGATATGGACCTAAATGTCCAAACCCCATTTCTGACCCAAATTGGGGGTTCTTATGCACAGGCACTGGCTTCCTCTGAGCCGTGTGGGTGTTCAACCCCCAACTCTGCCCCAGGCCCCGCCCCCACCCACCTCCTTCCCCCAAGCCTCTCCCACCTCTTCCCACCCCAGGCCTTGCCCCCATCTCTGCCCTGCCTCTTTCCACCCAATTCTCCCACTCGCACCCTCCATCCCCGCTCCTCCCCCACACCGTTTCCTGCACACCACGGAATGGCTGATCGCGGTGGGTGTTTTGCTTTATTTTTACTGCTACTACAGCCAACATGGCAAGCAATTTTTAGTTCCATTTATGCACCAGCATAATCTTTTATATTAGCTGTACAGGAGGAGAGGGAGGGATTTCACTCTCTTTTGGTGTATCAGGATAAAAACTGGCATGTGTTTCATTTTTCTATTAATTTAATTTGTGTGTGAATATATTGCTCTGGAAAAGATGGAACAAGCAGAATAAGCAGCAGCAGTTACACTACCCCAGCAACATGCTTACTCCCTGATCTGAAGTTGCCATCATTGGGAATATGAGGGTAGGTGAGTTTTTATGGTTCAGTCAACCACTAGCCTTCAGCTGAGGCTGTTGCTAAGGGCACCAATTAGTTTTAACAGGTATTTTTATTGATGGTCACTCTTACTCATTATTAAATAAACTCTGAATCTTGCCAAATTCATTTCCCATAGGCCACTGAAGCTTTTAGTCATTCTTGTTTTAAAAGGTTTACTTGAACTGGCAAGTCAGAAATGAACGACTCCATATCTTACTATTACGTGCCCTTTTAATCATTCATCTTGGTTTGGTTTAATACACACTGGCGGTGCTCTTTTAAAAAATAAAGATTAAAGAGAAACAGAATATCACAACTGTCTGAATGTACTGTGCTGAGAACACAGGATATAGCATAACTCAAAATGGAATGCCACACTGTTATACATGACCTCTTCAGTTTCCTACCTACTATATACAAAGACAGTTTTATTTATTTGCAGCAAAACTCACTAGGTAAGCCACATAATTAGGGGGTCTGTCAACATCTCAGGTTTTCCTGCAAATTAAAACCCAAATAGTATAAATTTATTATGGTTTAAGAACATTTAAAACTATGGTTCCCCAGGTAATTGCAACTTAAATCCAAGTCCTCTCTTGGCACTATACAATCTATTCCAAAATATTAGCAGATAAAATATGACTTCCACTGTAATTTTTGATCTATAGTAGAGTTTATTATGCTGTTACCATATGTTTTTACATGTGTACAAAGAAATGTGATTATCCAACTATTCTACAGTCATATTAAAGGTTTGCTCTACAAGAAGTGCATGTTATAGGGCAACTCCTGCCTTCGGTGTGATCCTGTGGCACAACGGATGCACCAGCCTCAGTTTCCCTTTCAGAGTCCCCAGTAACCCCATGAGAGGTTATCTTGCTTAAATAATACTCTTTCTTGGGGCCAGTTATTACCAAAACATAGTTCAAATAATCCCCAATAAAAGTCCCAAACCTAGCCAACTTCTTACACCCAGCATATACAGTGCTTAAAACCCCATTCTTCCTCTCTGCTGAGAGTCCTTCCATAGCATACTCCAGTGTCTTCCACCTAGGCACTTCATCGCTCCTCTCCTGTCCTTTTACCAGGACAACCACCCCAGCCCTTCCAGCTAGAGTGCACCCATGCTCATCCCAGTGGGAACCCATCCCCAGCCTCTCTGCTGGGGGTCTTTCAACCCTCTGGCGCCAGCTCTTGGCCCGTGGAGAAGTCAGAGGGTAAGTCCCTCTGCTGCTTCCCTGCCTTCGGCTTGCTCCAACTCTTGACTTTCGCTCTCCAGATTGAAAGCCCCCGCATGTTGTTCTTCTGCCTTCAGCCCTCTCCAGCCCCGGCTCTTTGGCTTGGGGAGGTCAGATACCAAACCCCTCTTGCTGCTCTCCACCCTTCAGCCTTCCCTCAGGAACCATCTACGGCTTTCTGCTCTCACCTACCCTTTCCTGACTTGCTCAGGCAGAGCTCTTAGGCAGCTGACTCACCAGGTCTCTCTCCCTCTCTAGAGCCC